AGCAACCGTGGACCCTTTTGTGCCCTATTGTTATAGGTCCATGATTGAAGGGGTTTACACACTCACCTAGACACACACACATGTTTTGGGGTTTTGATATATGTACAATGTACGTGTACAGTGTTCAGGGCATTACCATGAAGGAATAAAAAAACATTACAGGTGAAACATTATCCCAGAGAAAAATGGACAATCCTGTTTTTGTATTTGTAAATGTAAATTAACCTTTGCCATTAGCCAGTCACTAGATGCTGGTGTTGGGTTTCTTAATTGAAGGACAGGAAATATTGGCTTTTTTGGTAGGTAGCCATTCATCAATAAAGCAAAACAAAAAAGGTGTTCGGGACCTGTACCTAGTCTGTTATACCGGTATGCTGTTACCATTTCTAGTTTTTAAAACTTGCTTGACATTTGGAGTTCAAGGGAGTGGGCCGCATTCTTGTTTTCTTCTTTTCATTTGTTTCGCTTTCTGAGAAACACAAAATGAATTGAGCTTAATTTGTAAAAATCAGGAAATATACGTGTACCAGTATGCAAGGCCATTGGGTTTGCAGCGTATGCAACCTTGACATTGTGCAGTGTAAACTCTCTGATCAGCCGGCAGTTATCGGGACATGTACATGTACCTAAGATTGTGGTCTCCAGTGAACCCCTTTCCAAGGTATCCTTTCCAGAGAGAAGTACATGTATTTGTAGAGGAATGTTGGTATCCTGATATCATATTGATAACTTCCTGTATGTTAGGCCCAGTACAACCGGTTGGAAATGAGATTTGCATGCTTCATTGCTGAGTTGATTTGTAGCAATCGTGCTTGTGTAAGCACAGCTACTGGTTGGCCAGCTTTAGAAATGGTTCACATTCACAGAACTGTACTGAAAAATATGGTAAATTATGACATTGTCGCTTGACTACTTGACTTGAAATGTAGTGTACTACATGTTCGTTTATGTGTAGAGACATACATTGTACATGTGTACATTGGCCAGTATATTTACTTGTACATGTACATCCAATAAACTACTCTACGTCATTGTAGATCAGTATTAATCGCCAAAATACACTTCTGCTTCCTAAAACAGGGTACGGTATGTTGGTAGGAAATTTGTCTTGTTTTTCACTTTTCTAAAACTTGATAATGATCCAGTGCGCAGCTACGTGTACATACATGTATGTAAGTGTTCAGTGGTCCAAAATAACAGCAAGGGAGGTCGGATGGCAGTTGCTTCAAATGAAATGAACTGGGGTACAAGACAAGTGTTTTATGGTGCCAAATTGAAACTACATTGTACTTCTTTTTTTCTTTCTTTAAGTTTAATTTCACATTTTCCCAATATTTCCCCACCCAAACTGAAGTTCTGAACTGTCAAAATACATACATGTACATGTATGTATGTAGGGTACAGTTGGGCTGCAAGCAGGAAACATACATGTACATGTACATGAACTGATGAAACTTTTTTTTTTTTCTGAGGGGCCTTTTTTATAATGGTACATATAAACATGTACATGCACGGTAACGTTGTACTGTACATGTATCTTGTGTATGGATCACTCAGGATGTTACCATTCACAGTACCCTGTCAGAGCAGAGGAATATTTAGTAATGAAGGATGGATATAAAGCAAGTTGAAGAGACTTCTTGAAAGGGTTATTCATAAATTAGACATTTCTGTTTCCCTATTGAACAACAGACAACATGACCGTGTACTAACATTTGATAATGCCCGAGTGCTGTGATTTGATAATTCCCACTGTGTAAAAACATGCTGGCACCTGGATGCAAGACACTTTAATCCATTCCTATTGGTCAAGAGTCTGTACGTGCCACGTCAGGCAGGAGTCTTTGACTAAACAGTATTTATGAGTGGGAATACATATAAATATACATGTGTTTGGCTGAGGAGAGTGAATCCTGAATAGCTGATCATGCCCTAGCCTCATGTCCATTCTCACACATTTAAGACCAGCCAATCACATACACATTATGTATGTATTCTCTTAACCATGTGTTTTTTAATTTCAGGAGTCTGATTCAGCTCCATACTTGTACATGTATTGTATCTGTCGCTCTCAATAGTGGTTTGATCATCTACCCTGTCTACTTGGACAAAGTCATGTAGGCTTTTGTAGTTGCATGTATTTAATTACATGTATGCTACAATAATGTACATGTATACAATAAATCCTAATGGTAATAAGTGCTCCACGTACAGGTAATTATTTTCCGAGGGAAAGTTTTCTCTATTTTTGTAAATTGTACTCATGATTATTACAAGGCCTTGAAATGGAAAAAAAAATGCTTTGCTATACACTGTACCTTCCAGTGTCCCCCTTCCAAATCCATAATTTGCAGTCACATAATTTGCAGTTACATAATACATGTATGCAGCAGGCACCCCGTACATACATAGTAAATTTGTGTTTTGGTTTGTTGGAATGTCATATCAAAAGTATGGCTATTTAACAAACATACTGATTATGTTCGTGGTTACTTGTACTTGTATGCAGGCTGTGTGTCAATCTTTGTATTTCAGCAAGTTCAGGAAAAGGTTTTTCGTTTTTCTTTCGTTTTGTCTTCAGTCTGTCACTCCCAAATGTGTAAGGAATGTTTTTATCCCTTTTCCCCCTACAAAGCCAGCATTTCTAACGGGTAGAGGAAGTCCATAATCCTGGCCTGTAGATCTGTGATTCCTGACAGATGGCACCATTTTAATTCCTACTTGTCATCCGTTCGCAGGGAACCAGATCAGTATAGTTACCCCTGCAGTCATTGATCCGTGACTCATGCTGTTGCACATCTGGAGCAGAGTGCACTAATTTGGAAGGGAAGGTGTGAAGAAGAGGTTTCTGTCGCAATTAGCAACTTTCAACCTGTTTAAATTGGAGTCTTGGAAAGATGTCAGACTCTCTGTTTCTTAAAGGTTCATTGCCTACCGTACCTACATGTACTGGTACATGTACCAACCTACATGTACATCCCCATGCACTTGAACGGGGGGAGATTCATGTCCATGTGGGACTGAGAAGGAGAACTATTCCTTAGTACCCCAACTCTCCAACCCACCCCCTTTGCCCTTCTAGTCACAGTACTAGTATGTACATGTACTAGTGCATGTATGCCTCTAATGGTACCATTTTATGTTGTACGCAGAATTCTGCTAGGTCAAAGTAAGATGACTTCTATTGAGGCCCTTTCACACAAGCACAAAAAACACAAGTCCCATGTGATAAAATCACATTGATGCCAGAAATGCAGGGATATTGAAAGTGCTTTCTGATCACAGGGATTCCTTGAGTTCGTCACACGGATCTACTGTACGGTGGGGGGGGGGTTGACGTCCTCCAAAGCTTCGCTTCAGTGCAAAATCCATGCAGGTATGATGTGGACTAGTCTTGTAAATGAGTGCAAATTTGGTGATGTACTGAGTGTTTAAAGCCCTTCACGCATGTGTGCACCTTTGTTATTGCTATCGTGTAAAATGGTAGTTTATGAAAATATACACATACTACTCTTTAGTGAGTGGTAACATTGTTGCCATCTGCTTCCATGAACAAGCATTAGTATTTTGTTCCTAGGGATGGTAACTAGACCTACGTGTATGAAGTTGGGCCTTACTTTCCCTCATAAAAAATGTCCTCCTAAGCCACAAATGCAAAAAGAAAAAGATGAATTATCCTGCACCTTGACATTTCAAACTGTACTTACATGTACTATTTATGTGTACATATATACATGTACATGTAAAAATCCTATAGAGCCACAAATCAGAAAAAAGAAAGAAATACTGGTATTCTTCACAGCACTTCCACGCATGGAATTTTCAAGCACTACATGTGACAGCATTTTCGGCATTCTCGAATGTCATGCAGTTTCTGCCAAAATTCTCGAACGTCATCAAAATTCTGTCAAATATGACGTTCAGAACAAACATATTGTACTCATTATAAATTTTTGATGCAGCCAAACTTAAGGATAATTTTGGGTGGTCGAAAGATATAAGACCTGGCAAATGTGTTGGTATAGAGAGAGTGATTATTAGCGGTAAGAGAATGAAGAGAGCCAAACTTTTCTCATCATTTTCTGTCAATTTTGTGCTCTTTTTTTCATGGCTTATATTTTTTAAAAGTTATATCTTAGGTGTTTTAAAATACATCAGTCGAAAAATATAATGAATTCTCCTTCTTGTTGAGAGAAGTTTTGAAACCAAGTCCTCTGGTGTAAACACTTTGACGTAAAACTTTAAATGAATTCAACTCCATTTGATTTGCACTGGTAGCCAACCAAATGTCCACCATAAGTACACATTATGCCTAATTATCCCCATATAATAATTTTTATAAATCTGAAGGTGCTAATTTGTATTTTACATGATCAAAGTTACTCTTTTAGAAATTTTGAAAAATGACATCCGGAGTTGCGTTTTGGTCCGTTTTATGAAGAACATGCCTTGTACTAACTAGTGCCCACACTTTCACTTTAAAGTTTAGGCAATTAAAAGAAAAAAAGGGAATTTGCAAATGGTATCTTATACATGTACGCACCGGTGTACAGTTTGACATTATGGCCTATCGAATTGTGAACTTCTGAAATTCAGAGCTTGTTTCCCTGGATAAATTCCTTAGCCTCAACCATGTCAACATACATGTAGTTAAGACGAGGTATGACATGCACCCTCTGCTTCCCCTAGGGGCGCTATGCATCCCTCATGTGTTCGACTTACATGTACATGTACATTTACATGTACATGTACATCACAGCACTCAACAATTGTTAATTGTACCATGTGAAAGCCTGCAATGATACCACACACCCAGCACCAACCAATGCAGATGTGTGCTAACGTTGTTTCTTTTTTCTTTCATGTTTTTATGTCACCTCTTGTCATTTTTTTTTTTTTTTTTTACTGCAGTTGTTGTTTTCCAAATTTATATGTACATGTACATATATGTGTGTATACACATGTGCGTATTAAAGTATGACTTTGGTACACATACATGTACAAAGGAAAGTGTGTGTCCCAACATAAAGTCTGAAGTCTATTTTAAAAGATGCTTTCGTGTTTCATTCCCTTTGACAAATCTTGAAAAGATAATACTATGGAATTCTAATGCTTAAACCCATGTACATGTAATGTTCACATTGTTTACGTCAACTTTCATACATGGATTGGTACAAACTTAAAATGAATGAACTGAGCATGCGTACAAAAACTTAGACTAAACTTTTGTGGACCTACCCTTCACTAATCTGATTGGATGCCATAACTGCAGTGGCACCATGCTAACACACATTTTTCAGTTTGATGTATGTATGCATTTGGCAAATCACAGCATCCTATTGGTTGAAGAAATATGTAACGAAGTTGTACCATCTGTCCACGATTGTCATACCACCGCAGTAATGGATTCTAATTCGGGTTGTTGAATTACACAGTATGCTGTCTTAAATGGCCTAAGATTTGTGACCTAAACTACACCAAAGCCCCAACTTTTCATGTCGGAAACAATCTAATGGTAACCAACTGCAGTAACTTCCTCCTAAAGACAGATTATATCTGTCCAGATTGGTGGTTGTACACGGCCGATGACACAGTGACCATCCATGAGTAACCTGAGATAGCAAAGGATGAAAGGTCTGATCAGCAAAGTGACCAGTACACTTGTTGACTGCTAAATTCCCTTGGTCAGCTACCCTAAAAGTACATTACATGTACCGGTACTTTGCTTCAAAGTACTGTACTGTCTGAATATTACGTGTAGGTACCGGTACCGTACTGTGGAGCGAGATTCGGGTGAGGTAGCCCTCTCTGCAGAGTGCGGCGCCAGACGGCACATACCGGAAAGTCCCTGAGTGGCCAGGGACGAGTCCGTTGGGATGGAAGTATAGCATCCCAGTTGAAGAGCTGATCCTTTGGATTTGGCTGGATGGCTTGCTGTTATCTGATTCTGGAACTCAAAGTGACATAAGTAAACAATCTAGGACACCCATTCACGGTACACTAGAACATCAGGGATTGGTTTATTCCAACAACATCTGACCATGGGAAACCTTGCTCGCCTGGCTTATTTGGAAATTATGACAATAGAGGGTGCTTCCTTAAGTGAAATAACTTTAACAGCAATTTTACTCACCTGATAAAAAAACTGCCTAAAATGAGGGAACAGGTCGACAGCAACTAACAGAGGGTGCTTTCTCAATCGTAGCTTGTGGGCAAGGACAGATATATATGGATAGCATATTTCTCTCCCACAATGCACAATCTCTAAGGGGGCATAAACTATATCCAGGGCCAAAACCAATCTAGGGATGTCGCCCCACTCAACTAATACTAAGTGGGTTCTGGCAACACACCCTTATTTCTCCCGCACCGCACACACCAGGTAATGCCCTCCAACCCCAAAGTCCACTTGTGCCCAAGCGCGCAAGAAAGCGACGGGCTACAACACCACATTCATTGTAAAGACAGCAATGCACCAGCACCATGAACCAAATATACGGGCAGCAGGGGTCTGCTCATGCTGCAAATGAGACATTTACCAGGGATGCTGTCCCTTGCAGCTATTGCTGCAAGAGTTACAGCAGATAGCCCCTACTTTGACCATGGGCACGCCTAAAGGCCCCTTAGAGAGCCCTGATGTGTCCACGCAACCCACCGTGACCCCTAATACAGAAGTCCTGTCCAGTGCTCAGAACCTAGTGGGCAATTAAGGTTCGTCTCTCCCTTCACGCTGGGGCCGAGCAGCTTTTATAGCCGCAGCCTTGCGCTTATGCAGTACCTGCCATGTGCGTGGAGCTGTGACCAGTCTGGTCCATCCAATCAGTGCATGACTGGCAGGGCATAGTCGCTAGAGTGTTGTGTATGCTGCCTCAATCACTGCGCTAGCGCCCTCTGTCGCATTACAGTACTCTCAAATCCATAGCTGTGACGTGAATTAACTTATTTTTCAAAAAGCTGATTTGATGTACATTACATGTGCTGATGCCTTGAATTTGCAAGATTTTAACTCACTTCATGTATCAAATAGTTCAGTGTTGAAAGGGGGTAGCCTAAAAAGTACCAGTACTCTAGGCCATAAATACTCTACATACTGTCTTTGTGTTCATGTACAGTCCGTGTAATACGATCCGTGTGTACATGCACGGTCTATGTGTACATGTGTAATAAGTGTGTTAGGATTGATTGAGGTTTTTTGTAGCTAGACAAGCTTTAATGCTGAAATGCCTACCTGACATGTATGAGGGACATGCACATGTATGCAAAAACCAGTCAGCTCCTGCAAATCTGTTACACTGTACATGTACATGTACGTGGACTGAAGTATAGGTCCTTACAGGTACAGGTGCACGTGTTCAATTAGAGTTGTGCAATTTGTAGTATGGTTTCATCACCGCGTTTGGACTTCGCTGTACATGTACCCATGGATAGTGAATGTACCTGTTCATGTGTCTTTGGGTATTAAACTTGCTGAATTTTTTCTTATTACTTTTAAGTATTCAACCTAACCTATGCAGGGATTGATTTTTGGCTGAAAAACAGGAGTTCGTAAATAAGCAAGACGTACACATACCGTACATGTGCCATAACTTGTCAAAATTTACACGTCCTCTGGTATGAACAGGTCGAAACAGCCTGGTGCAGTTAACATACATTACTTGTAACATACTGGTACTGAAAAAGTTTGAATTGCACATTTTTTTACGTATACATGTACGTTAATGGTGATATTTCAAAATTTTTGCATTATCATCCCTCTTGTTTTCTCTTCAATGTTCACCTTGACTTTATTCACCTTTTTTTTGCTGCCATCATTTTGCTTCCATTAAAGGATTCTTGACAGCTTGACATTATTCCATAAAAACCCATCTTTTACACTCTCAAAGGCTTTTACCCCTGAACTTAGCCTGACTTTACAAAGCATACATACAGTAGCTCCTTGTCCTCAAGTGACATTAGGACTTAAGACCAATCTTGGGGTTATTTGCTTTTCAGAGTCAAAGCGGAAATTGCAGCACCACTCTGTCGTCTGCCTCGACCGTTGCACTCAGCGTTTCATTAAACGGATTAAATGTTCCCCCCTCTGGTAAGTCATGAACAAGCAGATCGCTCTATTGACATCATCACTAGTGACACTCTAATGTCTTCTAATGTTCCCCAGAACTGATATAGTCAGACTTTTAAGAGGTACTGTAGGAGTACATAGAGATTTTCTTGCCAAGTCATTCAGGCATGGCAGTGAAGTTGATGAAATTTTCCAAAGGTTAAGTCACCACTGTGCCACGGTGAATTAAAATAATCTCCAGCATCTTTCAACTCTAACTTTTTTCAAGGACATTCGGGAAAAAAAACCTGGCTTACATAAGCTGAAATTTTCAGAAGTTGCACAATACTTTTACAAAGTAATGTACCTACATGTACACTGTATGCTGTATATGCGTACCTAATCCATGGAAATTCAAAATCTATCATCATATACCAATGGCACTAACTATACTGTTGAGCTCAATTTCCTACCTGCAGTGTCGTGTAAGATTGAAAGATGATGTAGTTATTGTTTCAACTTGCCAGATTTCATCACTTTTCTGATGGTTCTTATTAGAAGAAAAATCTGCTCCGCACACTGAATGCGGAGAAAGCGTACTCTGTAGTTAGGGTTGGGGCTAACATAATGCCCATATTTGGATTAACATCTTTGCATGTGACCTAAGCAACATAAAACTCTCTTTGAGATGATTATTGTCATACCAGATGGTTATCACCTGTTGGATGTCTTCTACCTGTCCTTTTTCTTTAGTTCCTGGTGAGGTTCTCAGTACTTACTGGTACATGTACCTGTACTGTACTACATAAATAACTTTTTGTGAGCTTACATGTATGCATGTGGTTTTATCAGAAACACATTTCTCTAACAAATTTTGTACCTTTTCCTCTGCAAACCCTACCAGTCTATTTGGCTCCATCACATAAAAAGTTTTCAGTAAAAAAAAAACCTGTTACTTAGAGTGAGGGAGCATGTAAAGGATACATCATGTGACTCATCCAAGCATGCTGGTGGTATTATACACACACACACAGGCACACCCCCACACATACCGGTACATGTATAGTCACACACTGGTGCTGTCAGTGTGGTGACATCTTTAGTACCCTTCCAATTCCCACCGACAGGTTATTAATGTACGCATCCTGTGTACCGAGCAGATGGGGAAATAAGGAAATGGTCACGTCACCGCTCTTGATCACGCTCACAGCAGGCTAGCTCTAGCACCCCCCCTCGGTTTCTCCTTGTCCTCACGCCCCTTAACGAATGCTGGATCACCGGCCTGGGCCTGTGGCAGCCTGCGTATATTCACTCGTTTCCAGTTCATGGCCACACTGTTACCCTGCCTGCTACCATTGCCTTTCGAATTTGCCAGAGATGTCTTGCCTGATTTGAAGCAGGCTGGGGAACCCTGCCTACAAGACGCTGCCAGCCCTACAACCCTGGCGCAGACCCCGCCAGCCATTGCCATCATTACCGCTGCCTTATCACGCCCCCTATCGCTTTGGGGAGCGCACCCTTCCAGCCCGATGCAGCCGTTGGGGGAATACCACCATGCGGAATGCCAATCTTTTCCCCTTCATCTTTTCAGATGTGGCAGGGGGTTCTTTAGCTCCCGTCTCCCCCTCATTCAAGAGTAACCGGGGATCCACCACACCATCCTATGATGGGGATCTGGATATTGTGGTGAGTTCTCTCAGTCCTTGATTTATATCTCACCTTGGCTGCTCATAATTAATTCCATCATACTAACATGATGCTAACCTTGTGCTCCTGTCAAACCGGGAAATGCTACTGCCCTCGGCCATCAAGACTCTAACCAACTTCCGCTTCACATCAACTTAATATCTTGGTTAAAAACCACGTCATCTGCTAACTGTGGGCTTACAGTTGCCTGCTTCAGTCTCTTTCAACATCTTTGACCCTGAAAATGTTATTGAAGAAGAGTTTTGGTAGTTGTTGATGTCTCATGTCGGGCTTTATTGGCACTGGAATCTGTGATACATGCCTACTCATGGGATTGATACATGTATGTACTTGTAGTTAGACAAGTTACTGTGTGTAAAATTGTACTGTGTTACAAAACTGGAGTTTCTCAGGTCGTTCATTTATTTTGTAGTCTTACCTGCCTCTTTGTACCTGTACAGTTTACAAAACTGGAGTTTCTCAAGTCGTTCATTTATTTTGTAGTCCTACCTGCCTCTTTGTACCTGTACAGTTTACAAAACTGGAGTTTCTCAAGTCGTTCATTTATTTTGTAGTCTTACCTGCGTACATGTACGCACCGGTATGTGCATTTATTATCCAGTGCCCATGTTCCTCAGCTTTTTTCCCTCCTGACTAGTGAAATATTTGGCAGAGAACCTTGGCACTCGTAAAGTACTTGCCTACCAGTATGACACTGATAAATGGAGACCCACACAGCTGTTTCTAAGAAGAAGTTGAAAGTGAAATGGGATGTATACATGTACATGTACCTGTACTGCATATGCACTTTACATGTACATGTAGGAAAATTTTGAAAATTGAAAGTAATATATATAGTAAAAACTCTTCACTGATGCCGAATTCCCCCATTTTAGAAGAAACGTATGGTAAGGCAGTAGCCTTGACTTTTGTTACAGTATTTCTGTTCATGCCCTAAGTCGTCATTTCCGCTTGTTTCTTATTGATCATAGCTACCTTAAATCTCCTAAAGCTGAACAGTCACCACCAGGCCTTATTCATGTAAGGCTGGTATTTCCTGCCCGAAAGCCCCATAAATCTTTTTTGGATACCATTTAAGAAAAGGCAAAATTACATGCCAAAAGGATATTAAGGCTAATAATTAGTCCACAATCAACCTGCGTTTAAACCTAAAAGAGTCACGTGGGGCAAGGCTGACCTGAAAGTCTTCATTGGTGCATGTACAGTGCATCATAGAAATGGCATCACACCAGAATACCTACATGCATAACCATGCATTCCATCTACAGTTACAAATTGGATTGAATTAGCCTTGTGTTCTTGCATACTACTTGGGGGAGAAGTATGCAAATGCAGAAATAGCAAGCTTAGTAGTGTACCGTACATTGTGTACACTGCAGCCTATTGAATCAGTTAGTGCTTCTTCAGTTTATGATGCTTAGTACTTTAAGTTTAGAGCTGCATTCAGCAAAAAATAAAATTGTTAATATTATTAATATACAGCCTAACCAAAAGCTGTATCTTAAGCCTTAGTTACCTGTAGTTTTTGAAATAGATTATAACTTTATGGTTAGAAACAAGTAGAGAGTCTTAGGAAGCAGGCAACTTGCCAGCAGCATAATGCATGTAAAAACTCAGCTGGTACATGTACATACATACCTTGGCTTTATAACCCTCATCACTGCTTCATCTCTTCGCAGTCTCATTCTCATTTATTTTGACTCTTTCACTGCCTTGTTGCCTTCTGCCTTTCTGCTGGCACTTGAATTCATCATTATCAGCCACGCCCCAAACTAACCACCAAGCATCGCTACAGTGATCTCAACAGGTCTAAGAGTGTGGACAGCTCAGACAATAGCGAGGTATGTTGGAACATTCTACAGTGTCCTCTAGATCTTCAAATATTGGCCTGGAGCCTTCTGGGAGAAAGATTAGCCAGTTTTTTGTCATAATTTGTGTGTTTATTGTCAGTTGTTCAGAGCTGATAATAAAAAATAAATTCTCAGTCTTGATGAATTGGAATTTGACCTGCAGTTGCAGACGTCTGCCCCGAACAGACCTCTTGAGAGTTGTAACCATAAGGAGGTTTGTACGTGTACACGTACATGTGACACATACTGTACTTTATACAGATCCCATTCAACTCAAGAACATGCACACTGTGATAATTTTGAAAACTTTGAAACAATTAAGCGATCACCATCTCCGGCTTACAACAGTGTCAAGGTCAGTTGGGAAAACTGCTGTTTCATCAGCTTCTTAACCCATTATTTGCAATCTTGGCATAGAATTTTGCTGACTAATCCACACCTACATGTACATGTACTAAGTAACTTCAAACTACTGTAAGAAATGTTAGATTGGGTTGTGCTTGAATAACTTGTGTGTGGCTGCACAATAACATTCCTATCATTTCTAGCCGTAGCCAAGCAATTCAGGTGTGGCTTGGCTTTCATTAATTTATGCTTTAATATTTGCCTCTCTTGTAGGCTGCAGCTTCAGGAAGTGACTAGATACTAACCCGTGAAACCTGGTCTGCTATTTTTCTCAAGACTCTTAGAGGGTTCATGCTTGAACTCTGTTTCTGCATCAATTGAAAAAGGAAATCCCGAACACAATGATAAAATTGGAAAATGAATAGCACAAATGGGTCGGATTCGAACCAGGGACTACGGATCTGTAGCTCAAATCACTACCTACTAAGCTACCGAAGCGACGTAATGGATTCTCATTTTTGAAATGTCTTAAATGGTGTATTGCATTGTCCCCTCTTCATTAATCATTGGTCACCCCAGCTACTGAAAAAAGTAGCGCACTAGGTTTCACGGGCTAGTATTAAGTCGCTTCCGCAGCTTCAGCCACTTGTTCAGCATTTGCAAATACCTTCATTTGTGTTAATTTTGTTAGTTTGCCACATTCTTCACCATACTGGTATTCTTGACAGTAGTCTTGATTATGTACATGTGCATGTGCTTGAACCGGTCCAAGGCTAAGTATGTATCAGGTTATTAGTAGAGAGTGATAATGTGACTGATAAAGAAATGTACTGCCTTCACTAATTCCATTCTTGATGAATCTAGCACAGCTCTGTCCAAAGTACATGTAGATCCTGAACATACAAGTACCTTACCTTTTTCTTTGTATCGTTTCTCTTGTTATCGTGTTATTATTTCTTACTACCGGTATGTTGATCAAAATCGTCACAGGCTAATTTAATTGTCTATTGGGGAAATGTAGAATTTATTTGAAATCATGCCACGAAGTACTGTTTTGGCTTTAATCAATATACATGTACATGTATTATTGCGGTTTCAGCTCGTAAAGTTAATGCTCATGAGACACTTTTCAATAGAAACATCTAATATTTGGGTGTACATGTATGGGAGCGGGGGAGCAGACTTCACCCATGCATGTCTGTGTATGTGGTACTGGTACGTCTGAGCATAATTCTTGAAGCTGAATGTGAAGGTGAGGATTGGACAGTGAACATCGTGGTAAACTAGCTCCCTCTAGTGACAAATAAATTGCTGTTTGGTATCAGGAAGAAATGGCAACTTTTCGTCTGGTCTTGAATCAAAACTACTCAGCTAGATTCAAAAGGACCCTGTAAGGAAAGAAAAAGGCATACCAGGAGCCTGGGGGGCTAGTGTGACCTTTCTAAAGTCTGACAAACTGAACTGGGTGTGTCCTGCCATGTTTTAGTCTCTCCAGAATTGCTGTCAGGCGTAGGTATACATGTCTTGTTGAGTAGAATGGGAAGTCAAGTCACACAGTAGTACCTACATGTACATGTAAATGCCCTCTTGGAATGTGTGATGTAAAATACAAGTAATGTCAACTTCAGTGAGTGTGGCCAAAGATATGAAGAAACACGAATCCATGCTTTCTTTGGATTACATACCGTACAAGACCATACCAAAAACGTATCAGTGGGCTTTTTAGATTACCTTCGTAAGTTAATTTAATTTAGCTGCATTATACCCGTGCGGGGGGGGGGCTGTAGATAACGTGCATTCGGTTCTGTTTTTCTGTACCACCTGTCCTATATTGTGCAGTGTGTAAAAAAAATCAAAGGAAGTTGTTTTGATATGATGAAACATTACCCATAGGTGTACAATGTACATGTATGTAGCTTAATATATGTATGTGTAATATTTACTCCATGTATATGTGTAATTTATTTACTTGTTTACTTGTCCCTTGCCATCTTCAATGTACATTGTATGTAACGGTATCTTGCATGTCCTGTGTAACTGTGGGTGACATTATCCATACATTCGCTATAATATGACATGCTGTTTTTCCTCCGACCTTCTGTACTTAGGGACACTACAGAACCTTGAGCTCAATTACAAAGACATTAAGATTTTCCTGAAGCCACCCACTAAGCCAGATTCATAATCACCTGAGTTGACCTGTGCATTGTAAGAATAAAGACTTGCCTGTAGATTTACCTGAAAGAATGGAGACCCTCACTAACCAGTTGTATTAAATTCACTGCCACATACATACACCTGGTGATATTTCTGTCTAGCAGAAAATCAAATTACCTGCAATTGAATCAGGAAAGGACCATCCACCCTTAATCTTCATGACTGGGCATTTTGCCGTCATGGTTGCATGGAATCAATGGGGCCCAGGACAAAAAATTGGACCAGAAAATTGGGTCTGACTGTGTGGATCACCTTGTTCGTTCTTTCACTTACTCTCTTTTACAAAAGCACATCTAAAAGAAATTTATACATTCAAACTGCACGTACATGTACATGTATCCAAGAGAATATCAGAATATTATGCAAATCATGCATAAAAGGTAATAATTTATAAATGGAGCAATGCCACAGCACTTGCTGCTTTATATGCCTTTATCATGATGTTGCTATGTTTGTCTTGTTCCCTGTATCCCCTTGGCAATAGTCATACAATTTCACATATTGATAGAAAGGGATCAGACAATTTTCCCTCCAGACTCATTTAGTTACATACCAGTATTTCCTTGGATGATAGAAAAGCAAGATGGTTGCCCTGTGATAGAGTTCTATGACCCGCAGTGGGAGGGACTGTTGCATGAACCTGTACTAAGCCTATATTGGTTTTTTGAAGGAGATGATATGACGGTGGTGGCATCATATTCAGGTTTGCATTCTCAACCACTTGACACCGGATGACGTTTAAACACGTACAATTTTCCTTATTTGTTCCTTGGATTACGTGTACACTTGTTTAAGAATTCTTTGTCATTTCCGCAGTTGACGTACATGTATTAAATCATCATGCTTGGTTGGATCAAAGCATGGAAGATGATGCTACACGCAGATGGTGCTCACACTAAGTGGACCCACCCCACCAACCTCCAATAAAACGGATGCCTTTCTTGAGTACTTGTCAAATTGAATTGGGAAGTCCACACCATACACAAAAGAACTAAGGGGATTCATTTGTTTGGGTAAACTGATTTGCTAGGGAGTGAAACCACAATTTACAGAAGTGATAATGTTACAAAAATCCCAACTACATGTAGCAATTCCTTTGTATTGAGACAATTTGCAAAAAACACACATTGCCACAGGTGATCTCTGTATACATACATGTATGCTATGGACCTTTTGTACTGTATGTGAACTGGTTAATGTGTGGACATGTGCCACAATTTTTACCAGGCAGTTGAAAAAAAGAGGTAAAGAATAAAATACTGATGCCTAAACTCAAGAGCTGTGCGTCCCTACATGTTTTATGGGCATTGTAAATAAATTGGAAATTGAAGAATTTGTGGGGAAAAAACCCTGCCTCCAGCAGATTTTTCGGGTAAAAATATCTCAAGTTAACTGATTAAACTTGAGGCCTACATACATAGTTTGACAAGCTACAACTTGCTTCTGGTTGGAGTGGTCTTTAATGCATACGTGTGATAACCTTCTAGCTTATGTGATGCAACAGTTACCAGATATTCTCTCATATAAACTGTACACATAATGCTCTTTGAGGGCACATACTTTTCAGGGCATGTTTTGATCAAAAGATTCTCTTGAGCATAGGAAAGATCCCAAGTTCTCTTTCTTTATGGTACCGTAAATGCACCCAGTATATGAACTCACCCACACATCCAAAAATGAGAATTTACGTGCACAGAGTTGTTTTTGCCCAAGATGAATGTTTACATAGTCAGGTTAGAGTGCCTAATTTTATTAATTAAACAAATTAAAATATAAATAGGGAACTGTGGCATATAGCGTGCAAAGATCTCTGCAACCTTGGCATGTCTCGAGGGACCTAAATTGCTTTTCCCTTGGGGGAAATTGGTACGGTTCCGGCAAGCTCAGCTGGGGACTTAAGACTTCAATCTTTACCCCCTCCACTTCCACTCTTACTCCAGAGCGGAAGGATTTCAAACCTACATGTAGACGGCACTTTTTAAGCAGTGTCCTGAAGCATACATGTACCACAGTTTACAAAACTAAGCCAAAATTTACAATACAAAGGACTCAATCATGACCAGCTTGCTGGCTGCATACAAACTGTGGCTCACTGCCAACGCCTTCCCTATTGATTTGTAATATTTTACTCATTTATGTATGTGCTTTGTACTACATTGACTTGCTACATGTTTTCTTTTATTGTTATTTTGACATACACCCCTACATCCTGTATGTGTACACAGTGCTGTGTGTCTCAAAAATCACCATGGTATATTACTGTTATACAGTATGGTCAGTCACACACACGTACATGTATAAGTACACCTAGGACAAATTTTTTGTTCCAACCCCTTGACTTTCCTGACCAAAGAAATTGTCACCTCAATACCGTAACTGCCTGGCTATGGGCATGTATGTACATGTTCATGTACATGAATATGAGTAGGTTTGAATGAGTATGTAACACAGAAAGTATTTGATTGGAAGATGGTTGACATCTGAACCTGAACCAGATACATGTATATGCACAGTCGGGGCAAAAAGTTTACATACATGTACACCTGGTAGAACAATTAATTTTCAAAACTTTACTCATTTCTACCAACTTTTCTTTTCATGACAGACAAAATGGGTCTCTACTTAATGTACATGTACATGGTGTACCTGTACATATATGTACATGTGTGCATCAAATAACAACACCCAGAGATGTCAGATGCATAATCAAAATGCCAATCAAGTGCCACTTTCTGTATTTTTGGTCACATCTCAAAGTCGGAGTGGACCATTTTCTGAATTGTTTGAACAACAATTAGGGGTAGATTTTTTACAAATTTTTACAAAGTGATTTTTAAGAAATATTAATATTGTGAACCATAATAAATGTCTCTCAGTATTTTCAGTTGAAGTACACAGTATGAACATTTAGTTGAGATACCATTTGTCTGACCTCATAACAAAGTTGGCAGAATTATTTCAAACAGCAAAAAGTTAAGGAAAAAATTTTTCTACCCAGTGTATGTAAACTTTTTGCCCCAACTGTACATGTACCAGCAATGTTTTGTAGTATAAACCATGTGGCAGAATGTGGTTGGATGAAAT